TTCGCGTCTGATGGACCGCCATGTTGAGGATGGCGTCTGCGCTACAACGTCCGCTGCTCTAGAAACCTCAAAACTCCGGGAAATCAATATCTATGGCAGTCGGAAGGTCCTGTCCCTTAACCGAGACCGTTTGACGTCAAACTTTCTGCGCATCCGCGTCACTTTCAGGAAGCTGAAAGTTCGATGATGATCCCCGTTAAGCTAAATCAGTCTTACAATCAGTCACAGTACCCGTGCCTCTACAATTGCCAGCCTCGAACAATAAATGCATTTCAGCCGAGGCAACGCGTTTTCGTTACGTCGTTTATGGGAATCGAAATGAATCTCATGTTCGCGGCGAAAATTTCAATAAGGGAATGGAAACTGCGAGAAATCTTTAATCGTTCAAAATCAGACCGGGGTAAAGATGTTTCAATTAAGACATACAAATATTTGTAAATACTATTTCTCTCAACTGTGTTAGTAATCTATTTCCGTGTTAAATGAAATACTAGTTCAAGTATATACTCGACTGATTTCACTAATATATAATAATTGTTTAAAATACAAATTNATTTAAACACGTTGCACAGAGAATCAAGAACAAATACAGGAGCAATCGTACTAGAAAGTAAAAGAAAAACGTCAAGCTGATAACGGTGTACAACTGATCATAATTGAAATAAGTAATTACCATTCTCGAAGTACGTTAAACATACCGTTCCCGATTTGAAAGCGACTCCGCGTCTAAATTGTCCCTTCACTATCGAAACGTGTGAGTTTGAAAAACGAAAGCTCACCATTGGCGACTGCGATCGACGCGATCNGCTTATTAAATATAACATTTATTTCCAGTGCATCTTCAGAAAATATTATTTCAATTAATAATTTGCTTTATCACAATAAAAATAACTATTTTCAATATTTTTTCAAATATTTTTACCTAGGGCTGTTTGAAATTAATCAACTGTGTAATTTAAAGCGAAAACGAATTAGAATGAATTCGGAGTTGTTTAAATTTCAGTTGTCAATAAATTTCATTCGTAGACTCTTTTGAATATACTTGTCAGATTTAGTTAAAAAATTTATTTTAAAAACTGCTTAAATGTAATATGGACATCGTTATTTTACAATTGTTGGAATTATTTGTTAACAGTTTTATATTTGTAGAATAAGGTAGATATTGTAACGGTGTAACATAAAGTAATCTCACTTCAAGAATTATTAAGAAACGAATTCAATATTTACAGATTTCTATTAGAAAATTCATGTGTGAAAACATGAAATTTTAAAGTAGTTTAAATAACAGTATAAAGGGGGTTTCCTTCAATCCGTCTGCTAATAGAAAGTTCAAAGAATTTAATTGTGGAAGTTAATATAAACGAATTATATCGACCTTTGACCTGCACAAAAATGTAAATCAAGGAAATCGTGAATATTAATGTACTATATACTTGAAAAGCCGAGTTCGCTTGAAATATGTTCAACGAAGACATTATTTATAATTAAACTGCTATCTCTATGCACTTTTCAACAATAATAAGCACTCTGCGGATCTTCAAGCAAACTCTCATTTTGATACACCATTTCACAAAAACTTGAACTGTGACACCAACTTTATTCCGAACTGAAGACAAGTTTCTTTCGTCAATTAAAACATCACTCGTTGTAAAAATAAAATAAGAATGCCATTAGACCTTGTTGATTAATACTTTCATTGTAAAAATCTGAACACGCTAAAAATGAAAAGAGAATTCATAGTCTCTCTCTCTCTCTCTCTCTCTAATAATAAGTAAGTAAATTTTCAATTCAAATAGATGCATAGATCATTAATTCTCCACAAAGATCCACAATATAGTTGTAATTAATGTATGTACACTAAACCTCGAGTCCACGAAATTTACAATAATATACAAACGTTATCATTAACATTTCCCCACGGATGCTGTCCTGTAACAAAAGACGGGCGACATTTTGCGCGACGCCTTTCTCATTATTTTGACATTTCACATTAAAACTCTGTGCAACAAATTACGACACAGTGGACTCATGCGCAACATAAAATAAGATGAACGAGAAATAAATTTAGTAATAACTAGACTGCGGATCGGCAGCACCGGTGCCGACGTTGCAGAACGATTGCTCGCAGCAAGCGGTGCAAGTGTACAATTTTGTACGTACACCAATTACTGTGCATCCGGGTTCACATTTGCTTGTACAGTTTCTATCTGTGGACCACGTTAGTGGGCTTGATGTGGAATTCTCGGTACTAAACGTGTAAGATAATCGTTTCACCTGGAAAACACCAACGAATATTAAAATACTCGCAATTACTGTAATAAATAAAGTAAATAAAAAAATAGAATAGCTTGTTAATGTACGAAACTGTGCTCATTGTACATGTAAACAACTATATTAAGTGAGTAATATTTTTAACTTTATTTCGATGCTTCAATTAATAACAATATAAGTATTTAGTCCGTTCAATTTTTTCTAGCTGCCTTTTTAGCATTTCGATATTAGATGAAATGAAGAAAAGTCTTTAATTAAATCTGGCGTTATAACAATGTTTCAACACTTCATTTATCGGAAGCCAATTAATTAGCTTTTCAATGATTAAGCTGCGTGTGATGGTAACTCAACAATTTTGTTTGAAATGTTAATTCCAAGAGAAGTTGTTGCATAATTTAATATAGTAGTTACATGAATCGAAATAACTTATTGTATTACAATATCGTCGTTTCGAACAATATTATAAGTAATTCTCGATTGTTGATCTTCGATTTTATTAAAATTATTAGAAAATTGGTAACGTATTAAGAATCTATTTGTTTCGTATTTCTCTTCGTGGTATTATTTTAGAAAGGAACAATAATTGTTTAAAGAACAAGATCAGATGTGTATTAAATCTCGCGCTCGTTGCGCGAAATCAACAATTATTCAAATTGCATTCGTCTGTTGCCATTACCATGCAAGTCCTTTTGTCACCAGTGCACTTGTGCTCGAAAGCACTATAATTTCCGGTTAGATTGGAACATCTCTCTCCATCTTCCATTGTGTCACACTGATAACACCATAAATCGTTCACTCGTTCCGAAGCTTGGGGAGTTTTATGTTCCGTGGATAAAAATTGTCCTTATGATCCCATGAAACGAAACGAAAATCGAACGTTTATCATCACGAAATATCTGAAAATCTATCTAAACAAGCGTACAGTTATTACACAAATTCGCTTCGAAAAAGAAAACAGTCATTCCCAAAATTGATTTTCCAAACAGTCTCCCAAACGACAGAACTACGATAAAAATCAAAATCGACGAAGAGGAACATAAACGCACAGATTAAACAAATCCAACGACTGATGAAACATCGTTCGAACGATTTTCAATTTCTAGAAGCAATAATTTACAAACGAAACTCGATGTTTCGGCGGTCGTTCACGATTTTTCTATTTAAACACGTTGCACAGAGAATCAAGAACAAATACAGGAGCAATCGTACTAGAAAGTAAAAGAAAAACGTCAAGCTGATAACGGTGTACAACTGATCATAATTGAAATAAGTAATTACCATTCTCGAAGTACGTTAAACATACCGTTCCCGATTTGAAAGCGACTCCGCGTCTAAATTGTCCCTTCACTATCGAAACGTGTGAGTTTGAAAAACGAAAGCTCACCATTGGCGACTGCGATCGACGCGATCAGAAAACACGTGACAGCGGCACATGTCTCGCCCGCCATGTTGATCGGGACCAGTCCACTAGCTCGAGGAATCGGAGACTACGGTTGGCTCTTTCGAGCTGCGGCCCTATTGTTTCCCGAAAATCCTACACCGGGCCAAACCGAACGGGTTGAAACGCGACGCGGAACGGTTCGCGTCTGATGGACCGCCATGTTGAGGATGGCGTCTGCGCTACAACGTCCGCTGCTCTAGAAACCTCAAAACTCCGGGAAATCAATATCTATGGCAGTCGGAAGGTCCTGTCCCTTAACCGAGACCGTTTGACGTCAAACTTTCTGCGCATCCGCGTCACTTTCAGGAAGCTGAAAGTTCGATGATGATCCCCGTTAAGCTAAATCAGTCTTACAATCAGTCACAGTACCCGTGCCTCTACAATTGCCAGCCTCGAACAATAAATGCATTTCAGCCGAGGCAACGCGTTTTCGTTACGTCGTTTATGGGAATCGAAATGAATCTCATGTTCGCGGCGAAAATTTCAATAAGGGAATGGAAACTGCGAGAAATCTTTAATCGTTCAAAATCAGACCGGGGTAAAGATGTTTCAATTAAGACATACAAATATTTGTAAATACTATTTCTCTCAACTGTGTTAGTAATCTATTTCCGTGTTAAATGAAATACTAGTTCAAGTATATACTCGACTGATTTCACTAATATATAATAATTGTTTAAAATACAAATTTTTTACAATATATTGAAATAAATATTTTATTTGTTGTGCGCGAAATTAAACACTTGAATATTGTTTTCATGAAATTTCACCGACCAAGCAACTCTGAGTGTGTCTTGACATCCGTATTTGCATTTGAGTGGTGCATTATTTGAGATATGCCCATTGTTAAAAGCAAATATATGTTAAATGTTCACATTCATTACTTAAGGGAAATATTAGAAAAAGCTCACCTTTCAAAACAATATGTGTTTGTACCGTTTCTATAGATTAGACACATGAAATGCTTATTAAATATAACATTTATTTCCAGTGCATCTTCAGAAAATATTATTTCAATTAATAATTTGCTTTATCACAATAAAAATAACTATTTTCAATATTTTTTCAAATATTTTTACCTAGGGCTGTTTGAAATTAATCAACTGTGTAATTTAAAGCGAAAACGAATTAGAATGAATTCGGAGTTGTTTAAATTTCAGTTGTCAATAAATTTCATTCGTAGACTCTTTTGAATATACTTGTCAGATTTAGTTAAAAAATTTATTTTAAAAACTGCTTAAATGTAATATGGACATCGTTATTTTACAATTGTTGGAATTATTTGTTAACAGTTTTATATTTGTAGAATAAGGTAGATATTGTAACGGTGTAACATAAAGTAATCTCACTTCAAGAATTATTAAGAAACGAATTCAATATTTACAGATTTCTATTAGAAAATTCATGTGTGAAAACATGAAATTTTAAAGTAGTTTAAGTAACAGTATAAAGGGGGTTTCCTTCAATCCGTCTGCTAATAGAAAGTTCAAAGAATTTAATTGTGGAAGTTAATATAAACGAATTATATCGACCTTTGACCTGCACAAAAATGTAAATCAAGGAAATCGTGAATATTAATGTACTATATACTTGAAAAGCCGAGTTCGCTTGAAATATGTTCAACGAAGACATTATTTATAATTAAACTGCTATCTCTATGCACTTTTCAACAATAATAAGCACTCTGCGGATCTTCAAGCAAACTCTCATTTTGATACACCATTTCACAAAAACTTGAACTGTGACACCAACTTTATTCCGAACTGAAGACAAGTTTCTTTCGTCAATTAAAACATCACTCGTTGTAAAAATAAAATAAGAATGCCATTAGACCTTGTTGATTAATACTTTCATTGTAAAAATCTGAACACGCTAAAAATGAAAAGAGAATTCATAGTCTCTCTCTCTCTCTCTCTCTCTAATAATAAGTAAGTAAATTTTCAATTCAAATAGATGCATAGATCATTAATTCTCCACAAAGATCCACAATATAGTTGTAATTAATGTATGTACACTAAACCTCGAGTCCACGAAATTTACAATAATATACAAACGTTATCATTAACATTTCCCCACGGATGCTGTCCTGTAACAAAAGACGGGCGACATTTTGCGCGACGCCTTTCTCATTATTTTGACATTTCACATTAAAACTCTGTGCAACAAATTACGACACAGTGGACTCATGCGCAACATAAAATAAGATGAACGAGAAATAAATTTAGTAATAACTAGACTGCGGATCGGCAGCACCGGTGCCGACGTTGCAGAACGATTGCTCGCAGCAAGCGGTGCAAGTGTACAATTTTGTACGTACACCAATTACTGTGCATCCGGGTTCACATTTGCTTGTACAGTTTCTATCTGTGGACCACGTTAGTGGGCTTGATGTGGAATTCTCGGTACTAAACGTGTAAGATAATCGTTTCACCTGGAAAACACCAACGAATATTAAAATACTCGCAATTACTGTAATAAATAAAGTAAATAAAAAAATAGAATAGCTTGTTAATGTACGAAACTGTGCTCATTGTACATGTAAACAACTATATTAAGTGAGTAATATTTTTAACTTTATTTCGATGCTTCAATTAATAACAATATAAGTATTTAGTCCGTTCAATTTTTTCTAGCTGCCTTTTTAGCATTTCGATATTAGATGAAATGAAGAAAAGTCTTTAATTAAATCTGGCGTTATAACAATGTTTCAACACTTCATTTATCGGAAGCCAATTAATTAGCTTTTCAATGATTAAGCTGCGTGTGATGGTAACTCAACAATTTTGTTTGAAATGTTAATTCCAAGAGAAGTTGTTGCATAATTTAATATAGTAGTTACATGAATCGAAATAACTTATTGTATTACAATATCGTCGTTTCGAACAATATTATAAGTAATTCTCGATTGTTGATCTTCGATTTTATTAAAATTATTAGAAAATTGGTAACGTATTAAGAATCTATTTGTTTCGTATTTCTCTTCGTGGTATTATTTTAGAAAGGAACAATAATTGTTTAAAGAACAAGATCAGATGTGTATTAAATCTCGCGCTCGTTGCGCGAAATCAACAATTATTCAAATTGCATTCGTCTGTTGCCATTACCATGCAAGTCCTTTTGTCACCAGTGCACTTGTGCTCGAAAGCACTATAATTTCCGGTTAGATTGGAACATCTCTCTCCATCTTCCATTGTGTCACACTGATAACACCATAAATCGTTCACTCGTTCCGAAGCTTGGGGAGTTTTATGTTCCGTGGATAAAAATTGTCCTTATGATCCCATGAAACGAAACGAAAATCGAACGTTTATCATCACGAAATATCTGAAAATCTATCTAAACAAGCGTACAGTTATTACACAAATTCGCTTCGAAAAAGAAAACAGTCATTCCCAAAATTGATTTTCCAAACAGTCTCCCAAACGACAGAACTAGGATAAAAATCAAAATCGACGAAGAGGAACATAAACGCACAGATTAAACAAATCCAACGACTGATGAAACATCGTTCGAACGATTTTCAATTTCTAGAAGCAATAATTTACAAACGAAACTCGATGTTTCGGCGGTCGTTCACGATTTTTCTATTTAAACACGTTGCACAGAGAATCAAGAACAAATACAGGAGCAATCGAAAGTAAAAGAAAAACGACAAGCAGATAACGGCGTACAACTGATTATAATTGAAATAAGTAATTACCATTTTCGAAGTACGTTAAACATACCGTTCCCGATTTGAACGCGACACCGCGTCTAAATTGTCCCCTCACTATCGAAACGAGTGAGTTCGAAAAACGAAAGCTCACCATTGGCGACTGCGATCGACGCGATCAGAAAGCACGTGACAGCGGCACATGTCTCGCCTGCCATGTTGATCGGGACCAGTCCACTAGCTCGAGGAATCGGAGACTACGGTTGGCTCTCTCGAGCTGCGGCCCTATTGTTTCCCGAAAATCCTACACCGGGCCAAACCGAACGGGTTGAAACGCGACGCGAAACGATTCGCGTCTGATGGACCGCCATGTTGAGGATGGCGTCTGCGCTACAACGTCCGCTGCTCTAGAAACCTCAAAACTCCGGGAAATCAATATCTATGGCAGTCGGAAGGTCCTGTCCCTTAACCGAGACCGTTTGACGTCAAACTTTCTGCGCATCCGCGTCACTTTCAGGAAGCTGAAAGTTCGATGATGATCCCCGTTAAGCTAAATCAGTCTTACAATCAGTCACAGTACCCGTGCCTCTACAATTGCCAGCCTCGAACAATAAATGCATTTCAGCCGAGGCAACGCGTTTTCGTTACGTCGTTTATGGGAATCGAAATGAATCTCATGTTCGCGGCGAAAATTTCAATAAGGGAATGGAAATTGCGAGAAATCTTTAATCGTTCAAAATCAGACCGGGGTAAAGATGTTTCAATTAAGAAATACAAATATTTGTAAATACTATTTCTCTCAACTGTGTTAGTAATTTATTTCCGTGTTAAATGAAATACTAGTTGAAATACTCGATTGATTTCACAAATATATAATAATTATTTAAAATACAAATTTTACAATATATTGAAATAAATATTTTATTTGTTGTGCGCGAAATTAAACACTTGAATATTATTTCCATGAAATTTCACCGACCAAGCAACTCTGAGTGTGTCTTGACATCCGTATTTGCATTTGAGTGGTGCATTATTTGAGATATGCCCATTGTTAAAAGCAAATATATGTTAAATGTTCACATTCATTACTTAAGGGAAATATTAGAAAAAGCTTACCTTTCAAAACAATATGTGTTTGTACCGTTTCTATAGATTAGACACGTGAAATACTTATTAAATATAATAATTATTTCCAGTACATCTTTAGAAAATACTATTTCAATTAATAATTTGCTTTATCACAATAAAAATAACTATTTTCAATATTTCTTCAAATATTTTTACCTAGGGCTGTTTGAAATTAATCAACTGTGTAATTTAAAGCGAAAACGAATTAGAATGAATTCGGAGTTGTTTAAATTTCAGTTGTCAATAAATTTCATTCGTAGACTCTTTTGAATATACTTGTCAGATTTAGTTAAAAAATTTATTTTAAAAACTGCTTAAATGTAATATGGACATCGTTATTTTACAATTGTTGGAATTATTTGTTAACAGTTTTATATTTGTAGAATAAGGTAGATATTGTAACGGTGTAACATAAAGTAATCTCACTTCAAGAATTATTAAGAAACGAATTCAATATTTACAGATTTCTATTAGAAAATTCATGTGTGAAAACATGAAATTTTAAAGTAGTTTAAATAACAGTATAAAGGGGGTTTCCTTCAATCCGTCTGCTAATAGAAAGTTCAAAGAATTTAATTGTGGAAGTTAATATAAACGAATTATATCGACCTTTGACCTGCACAAAAATGTAAATCAAGGAAATCGTGAATATTAATGTACTATATACTTGAAAAGCCGAGTTCGCTTGAAATATGTTCAACGAAGACATTATTTATAATTAAACTGCTATCTCTATGCACTTTTCAACAATAATAAGCACTCTGCGGATCTTCAAGCAAACTCTCATTTTGATACACCATTTCACAAAAACTTGAACTGTGACACCAACTTTATTCCG